AAAATTGAGCTGAGAAGAAAAAGAAAGATTAAGCTATAATTTACACATCGCTCTTCAGGGCTCTTCATCGCTCACAATTTGGAATTTATTTATAATTTATAGGCCACCCACTTCCATAGAAGGATCTGAGACAGCAAAATTTGGAATAAGAATTCAAGAATATTATATCTGGGATTAGTAGATTCAAATCCTGAAAGTAATTTTGTAAAAAGTGAAAATAAATAACTTCGTTAAAAATTTTCCCTTTCAAATATTTAAAAAGTAAAGAGGGGATAGAAAACTGTTCTTTTAATCTTTTTTTTTTTTAACATCACTATCCTATAGTATTTTTTAAGTGAAATAAAGCCTAATTTCATTAAATTATGCTGGAGACAAAGTTGAGAAGAGAAAGTAGAAAGCTATGATCAAAAATGAAGTTCTAGAGACCTTTAGAGTGGCATATATTATTTTAATATGAACTTACTATCAATTTCAATTAATTTCCATGATGAATCAAAGTCCTTGGTGAATATTATAAGAGTTGATTGGTAACCGGGATCCAAACAACGAATTTCCTATACTATGTGCCATCACCAACTTTAAAAATTTCAGGATTAGAATCTTAGTATCCATTATTTCAGGGATCTATGGACCTCAAGCTATAAAGCACTATCTGAAAAAGAAACAAATATTTACGAAGTTCTTCGTGCTAGGAGCTGTTGAGCTGTCCCAGCCCCTGTTCAAAATGTGTGCTTTTCAGTAAACGAAGGAGCTAGAACTAGGGGTGAAAATGTGCCAAAGCACCACAAACAACAGACTATTGTTTCAGAGCCCGTTACAAAAAATCCCAATATTCGTCTGAATGATTAGTAAGTGTCCCAGCTCTTCATACTCTGATGGATGCCACTGCCTACCAGGCAGTGTGGAGTCTGGCTGTTCTCCAGGATTGCAGTTTCAACAAAAATATCCTTCAAAACTCAATTTGGTTGGGACTTACCACAGGCTTTGGTTTGGAACTTTCCAGTAATGCCCAAAATAATTCGACCTGAGACACACTGGCCGACCACCACCACCACTGACTCTGGGGAGAACTGTCTGGAAGCAGGCTGAGGCTCCCTGGACCGACCACCCAGAAGAGTGAGTGGAGAATACCAGAGTAAATGAATGAAAATGGGGGTGAGCAGACAAAGAGAGGCTGGGCAGAGGAACGGGCTGGTCAGGGCATGCTGAGTCTTAAGAAAACTGGCTTGAGGAATCAGGCATACGTGTCCTCCTGATGGGAGACTACACCACCACCTACAAAATATTCTTGCCAAAAACTTAGGAATTTGATCAAGTCTCTAGAGTTAGCTACCATTTCAGAGGAAACTTAGAAGACAAAAGAACATGTTAAATGACACCACGGGGATGCGGGCCTTGAAGTATAAACTACAGAAAGCTCTAGAGGACAACCTGGTCTCTTAAACAAATATGTTGCATTAAAAAAGTTAAAAAAAAAAAAATGTTGAGGGAAATTCTATAGATTAAAATGCATTGGGCTTATTTGAATCCTGATTTAAACAAACTGACAGAGAAAGAGAGGATAGAAATGTTTACTGTTTTAAAGTGGTTCTAAGCCACTAAATTTCGGAGTAACTTGTTCCTCGACAATACAAACCAATACAGAAATCTCTGCTGAAAAAAAAGACTGAAGTGTGAGATGTAACGAAAAGAATCATCCTCTGGGATTCAGACAGACTGGGGTTCAAGTTCTGGATCGACCACTTGCTTGAGTTCGGAAAGTGATTTAGCCTCTCTGTGAAAGGCTGAAGCCTTTTAATTTGTAAAATAAAGATAAAAATGACTAATGCCTAGGGCTGTGCTAAGAAATTAAAGATAGAATATATGCAGAAGTGCTCACCACATTGCCCTGCACAGAGAAAAAAAGTTGATGAGCAGCCATCATTTTGTCTAATCATTATTAGCAGCACTCATTCTAAAATGGCCTCCCTCCCTCCCTCCCACCCATCCCGCTAAAAAAGGAGGACATCCCAGAAGAGGCTGACTCCACCTCTCCTTCAGGAAGAAGGCAGCTCTGCAGTGCGACGAGCTGCATCTTCCACCAAGGTCTACATTTAGCATCTGTTTCCACCTTTTTCGGTCTCAGCCTACACAGTTGCTGCCTATCCCAGCGTGGGGCAACACTGGAGCCGGAGCACGAATCCAGGGAACATGCACAGGAAAAAGGAGCCTGATAATACTTCTGGCGCGCTTATAGACAGGCTTTAAAACGGAATATTAAATGCGGGCATCCACATGGAATTTCAATTGACGGGTTTTTCCTCTCCTCAGTCCAACAGCACAAAATGAGATTGGTTCGGAACTGGCAGCCTTTCTTTCATTTGTCATTATGTTTTACACACAAGGAAATCTTAATGTCTAAAGATGGGAGGTGATGATAAGAATAGAGCTACACATGTTTTTTTGGCAGCCCAGTCACCAGCACTTAAATTCACTCCTGACAGTTCTCAGAATCTAAAGACCTGTAAGTACGGAACTGTCATCTGCCTATCCGTGAGAGATTTCACTTTGGCAGGGTTTCAAAAGGAAAATCACTCGCTGTTTTATGCATATTTTCGCCACCACAATATTTCTCTAAGCCATGTAAAATACTGTACTCTCGAGAGACAGATAAAAAGAGGTCTGTGGTACACGGTTGCGAAAAGGAAAATCGCCCCTGTTTCTGAACCTACAAGTACAAAAATACAAAGTCATTTGCTAAAATCTAGGATTAGAGCAAAATGGGTGATAGCCTTCTGCAAGAGCCTGGGCTTGGTGATTACAAAAGGCAGTTGAATTGGATGATTTCTGAACTATTTAATGGTTAAAAACGAATGGCCCTGTTAAGACTTGGAAGGCAGTCCTGTTACGTAACCGTTGGCTCTCTTCAGCAGAACGGCTCCCTCCCAGTGCGGTCTGACACAAGAACTGGAGGAAGCTTCGGGAGGCGGGATATCCAAGCTCCTGCTGGAGCAGCATGGTGTCCAGGAGAGAGCACAAAGTCAGAACTGGATGGAAATCCTACATCTGCCACCAACCTGCCAAGTGACTCTTGGCAGAGAATCCCTCACTTTCTCTGATCTCAGTTTCCACCACGTTTAGAATGAAGGACAGAACAGCATGGTGGTTAAGTGGGGGCCCTGGAGTGACTAACCACAGAGGATCTCAATCCCTCTGCTTCCCAGCCACATGCCTTCAGATCACTAACCTACCCTCTCTGGTCTAACTTTCCTCATCTGTATAATAGAGAGAGTGATAAGCACAACTCCAACGGGTTGTTTTGAGAATTCAATCAGAAAATGCATGCAAGGGGTTCTTAGTGTGTGGCCCATAATAAGCCCTCAGTAAATGAGCTATTGTTGTTATTGTTACTATTATTCCCTCCCAAACATATTATAAAAAATAGTCAGCCATGAGTAATAAGACACCACAGGCCAACAACTGAGATTATGGCTTGTTCAAGCCTAAGTGGGCTTCCAATGGCGACCACTTTCTTCCCAGAACCTAGAATAGTGCCTGGGGCTTTGGAAACACTCACCGAATGTGTGTTAAGTGAATAAACACGTGGATAAATGAATGAGGAAGGTGTAAATGAACAAACGTCTTGAAAGCTACTGCTGTGCCCTGACTGAGGTTCTCTGAGAGCTCTGGCAAGGCCTAGCTGCTACCAAGCACTGAGCATTGAAAGAGCGCCTGCAGTAGGGCTCTCCGGGTCTGCTGGCTGGCTGGGATGCTAACCAACTATTCCTATGAGCGCACAGCCCGCACTTAGGGGGATGATGCAACTCTCTCTGAAGATTCTGACTGCATATTTCAACCTCAAGGACTCAGGCCACTTGCTTGCTCCAGAAAGGGCTCCAGAGAGCAGACTTCTTACCAGTCTAAAAGAGCAGAGTGAGCAAGTAAGGAAGACTCAAAAGGGACTGGATTGGAATGGATGGCATTGTGAGGTCAGATCTACATAGTACCATCTGAATATCTGGTGCAAGATACCCCCCCCCCATCAGATACATCCCTCATGGGCTTGGATTACTACAAAACCAATGCTCCCAACAGAGCCTAACCCACAGACAGCTTGTCATGCAGCAGTGTTCTCCAAATTCCGTCATTCTGATGCCACTTTTGGAACTATCTTACCCTTGGCACCACCTGTACTATTACTGACTGAACCCTCATCTTTAAACCAACTCACCGAAAAAAAATTCAAGTTTTTTTTTAATGAAATTTAAACCACTGTGGTAAATGAAAAACCAGTATCGCCTGCCCTAAATCAGAGGTAATCGTAAAAATAAACACTTGGAAACAAAATATTGTCATTAAAATGGAGCTAGCCACCAATGCTCTCCTTAACTTTGGGTTTTGGGCCTGTGCTCTCTCTGTTAGAAAGAGAAGTGAGCATGGGATCGCATAAAAATGTGCCAGCCCCTAGCGAAGCCTTCCTCCTTCAGGCATTTTGAAAGACTGAAAAAGAATGAAAAAAGGAGTAAGTTTCTCATGATGTGAGTCCATGTTTTTGGAGCCATGTTCATGCACCACGTACAATCGTTGCAGGCTGGAGAAACAGCAGAACTTTCTCATGCTCGTGATGGTGAGCCTCTTTGCAGTCCTCACTAACTGAGGTTTCTTGTTTCTGAATGCAATTAAAATACACATTTCCTTGATTCTGAGATGCACTGCAAAAAGTCTATAATCAGGACGCGTCTTACCATCAGCTGGTTTTTATTAGCCACTTTTACTAGTGCTTTAATAGTATCTTTTCTTTTTTATCTGAGAAGCTGTTATGAGATTGATGACACATCTCATAATGAGGGTGACTCAGAGTCAAGAAAATACCGTACACCTTAACAGGGCCAACATAAATGAGCCTCTGTTTGGACGCCAAGACAACACAACAGCCTTGCCTTCTCCCAATTGTGTTCATCTGATAAAGACATTACAATAGCAAGCTATTATGATCTATAACCCTCTGCTGGAACACTCACACATTCTTGGCCTTGAACGCTTGAGCAAAATGCTGCACGCTACGGAGCAGAGCAAGGTCCAGGGTCATTGCTTCTACCTTGGCTTTACGCTGGAATGAGAAAAAATAAAAAGAAATGATAAATAACAGCAAGTTTAGTTCATGGTATCAAGTTACAGCAAATGTGTTATGGAACATGTCGGAATTCCCCTGTTTAATATTAGACGCCCAGAGAGAATATAAATCATCGGAATGAATGGAAGAACAAGGCTTTTACTGCCAAGTTTAGGGAGGATGTGAGGCTGGGACGCTGCTAAAACTACAGGCTGGGGGTTGTGCTGTTTCACTCAGTGCACAGAAGAGGTTCCAAAGGGTCTTCAGGCTCACATATCTCCTCTTAATCTGCGTCCTAAAAAACCGTAAAGATGGTGGAACACCAGGACAAAGCCTGGCTCGTGCAGGAATTCAATAGATAACATTTCCATCAAAAAAGCTGCCATCCAGGTTTGGAAATAATTGCACTAAGCCTGCATCAAAAATTAAACACAATTCATTTACAGAAAGTACAAAAGTAAGGGGCCTGGCCCCATGGCGTAGTGGTAAAGTTCATGCACTCTGCTTTGGCGTCTTGGGGTTCACTGGTTTGGATCCTGGGCACAGAGCTACATACCACTCATCAAGCCATGCTGAGGCAGCATCCCACATACAAAATGGAGGAGGATTTGCACAAATGTTAGCTCAGGGCCAAGCTTCCTCACCAACAAGAAAGAAAGAAAAAGAAAGAAAGAAAGAAAGTACAAAAGCAAGCAAAACTCATTTATACCAATGAATCCAGGTTGACCTCAATCCCCTTGGTTTAGTTACCCAGAAAAGTCTATAAACAGGTGGGGCACATGTGGATGATAATGATGCTAATAATGGCTACTGACCATTCAGAGCCCACCATGGGCTGGGTGGTTATAGGGACCATTACATTTCATCCTCACGACAACTGAAAGATGGGTTATATTTTCCTATTTTACAATGTGGCATCTTATAAGCAATCACAGAGCTAAGAAGTGGGAGCAGGAAGCATTGACCTCAAGTAGGTCTGACACTAAAGCCCAAGTTCCCTCCTGGAAAGAAACTAGAAAACTGGAGCAGTCCGAGTTTGAAGCAATCATGTTCCCCTGCACAGCCTCCTAGCACAATTCTAGAAAGATCAGCGTTGCCTTTCACCCTTGCCTTATGTTTAAGGAGCACTCCCAACTGTTAAGTCTGGCTGGACTTCAGGGTGTGCGATTAAATACTATCACTTCTTAGATGTATTTCCTCCGAAAGACATGCAGCCAAGAATGCCAGGCCACCTGCCTGTTCAGGTGAGAAGAGTCCCATAAAACAAATGGTAAACTCGGGAATTCATGTCTAGACAGTGATGCTAAAGTAAGACTAGGGGGAATAACATGATACCTCGAAGGCTAGGAAGGGGGTGAAACGGCACTACTGAGAACATCCTCCACCGGAACTGTCTTCCTCAGGGATGGAGACAAACTGTGCTGAGATGCTCAGTGTACCTGCCGCAGTTTATCTTGGCCGCCTCGGTCCTGGGCTCCAACCCAGCACCCGAACCTTGAGCAATAAACGTCAGGCAGAGACAGCTGGGAAGCACACTGACTTCGGGCCATTGAACATTTCTGAGCCTCAGTTTCCTCATTTATAAAAGGTGAGCATTAGTTATCTACTCACAGAGTTGTTAGAACAAGTATAAAGCACCTAACATCTTGCTCAGAAGAGAGAAGGTATGTAACAAATGTAACTAGAAGGAGACAAGATGTCGTTGAGCCAAACTCTCCCTGATGCCACTTCGCAATAAATGGTGGTTTGGGCGAGTTACAGTGCAGCATGGCGGATGAAGTGACGTTAAATGGTACCCAAGGGTCCTCCCTGAAGACCACATCAGACCAGACTGCTGTTAGATCCTGGAGGATCCAGGTCATGTCTGCTAACAAAGCCCAGTTTTAGGGAAAGGAGTATAGAGTGATTAGATGACTTCCCCAAACCCCCACAGCATATCAGTGCCAAAGGAAAGTTGATCAACGTAGATTTAAATGTCTCCGCTAACAGTGCCAGATGCACAAACATGCAGATTTTGCAAGAAGAAGGAGAAGCATTTAACCTATTCCAGGAAAAGGGGAAAGTGCCAACACATGGGTGTTGTTAGAGTTTCCTAAGAACAGGGAACATCAGAGCTAGAGGGTCCACAGTAAGGCCAGGCCTCACCCCTCATCCTACAGAGAAGGAAATTGCCACCAGGAGAAGCGAATGCACTTGAGTGGTGTTGCACCTTGCACAGAGAGTTTGGGCTGCCAGATGAGGAGCAAAACTCGGCTCGCTTTCTGTCTGAATAATCAATATTTATCTGATGGCTTAAAATCTCTTGGGAGTGGGAAGTCTGTCAATGGCTAACTTTTATTCTCCATGGATTCTTATGCCTCATAAATGCTCAACTACCCGATTTGACACTCAGAGTTGGCAAATAAAGTGGCCTTTCCCCCTCAAGCTGCCTCCTCTGGCCCCAGCCTCACTTGGCTTGGAGCCTGACCCTTACTGCCTACACAGAATCTTACAGAACTTTGAATGTATCACAAGAGGAAAGTCAGATATTCATTCTGTTGGGGAAGGGGTGGTAAAGACATTGTTCCTCTCAGCCAAGCCCCCTATGGAAACGCCAAAGGACGTGCAGGCTACATATTATAAAAATGCATGTATATATTTCCCACATAAAACAGGCAGAACATTCCCAGATGGTGACCCCAAAGCAACATTCCAATGAGAATGATGGCACGGCCAAGTGGGCCAGTACATTCTTCTGTATGTGTAACTTACAATGAGTAAGTTGTCTTTTGCCCCCCTGCTCCCCTTCACTTTAAAATAAAGCATACAGCTGCCACTACCAATAAGAACAAAATCAGAACATATACATCCAGGGGGAACAAGAGGTCACAAGCCATCAAGAAGTTCAGCAGACTAATCCACAGGCTGTGGCTTACTAGGCTCCTGGGGACAGTGATTCAAGTCCACACACTATTACTCAGGTAATTCTCTGCTCTCTGTATCAGGTTTCCTGTTTCTGCTACTGACCCTGAGAAATGCAGAGAAACTGTGTGCAGTCCAGTGAAGGGAAAACGCAGCTTTTAGAATTAGGGTGTGTATATGTTTGTGTGTGTGTTAGGGGGCTTGCTCTTCTGATTATCTGACAAACTTAGCAACATTATAGAAATGTTTATCATGAGAGAGGCAGGAGGCTCGATCGGCCAATGTAGGCTTTCCTGCCAAGTCTGGCCATGAATCTGGGACTGACCACAATTTGCTTTCTTGGTTTAACACATGAACTGTTTATTCTTGTTGTTAACTTTGATTTGGAATTAGTTTTAGACTCACAAGAGGTGACAAAAATAGTACAGAGTGTCCATATACCTATGTCCCACCATCGCCCAATGGTGACATCTTACTCATGTATAGCACATTATGAAAACCACAAAATCAACACGGAAACAATACAATTCATTAGACTGCAGACATTACTTGGATTTCACCAGTTCGGTGATGCACTCATTTTCTCTTATTTGGAATATCTTTTTGTACAATTCTATGGCATTTTATCACATGTATTGATTCCTGTAATCATCACCACAGTCAAGATACAGAACAATTCCATCACCACTAAGGAATCGGTAAGTTTGATGTTAAATTATTATATGCCTTCTGGAATATGAAAAGTTCAGGCCTATTTGGCCAGAATCTGCTCTCTGGATTGGCAAAACAAACATATATACAAAGTCCTAGGTTAAAACCCTTTTGTAGCTTGGAATGGTCAACAAGATATGGTCCAAATTCCTTAGCATGGTTCACACAAGTGCCTGTGTATCAACCAGGATGTGCTTCAGTAAGGAACAGCCTCAAAACCTCAATGTCTTAAAACAACCAAGGATTACTACTCGCTCACACTTCTGGCCCATCCTGGATCAATGGAGCCATGTTAATTGTGATTCGCCAGGGGCCCAGACAGATGGAGCCTTTACCTTCTATAATATCACCAGCCTCTACAGTGCAGGGAAGAGAATGCAGTGAGTTGTACACTGGGTTCTCAAAGGCTTCCACCCAGCAGTGACAGATGTCACTTCTGCTCACATTTCATTGGCAGAGCAAGTCATGTAGCTATGCTTAGCTTCAGGAAGATGCAACCCTCCATGTGCCCAGAAGGAGGAGAAATGGAAATATATGTATATATATACACACACACACATAGTGAAGAACACTAACAACTAACCCACAGTCCATGACTTGGCCCTGTCTACCACTCCAGGCTTATTTCAGGCCATGTCCTGCTTCATACTTCCATTACTTAGACAAAAATTTAGAAAAGATAGATGAATATAGACCCCTAAAAAGATCTACGACCCCATTATCCAAAAATAAGCTGTTAGCATTCCATATGTCCCTCCCTTCCTTCCTATCTATCCATTAATCCATCCATCATCTGTCCATCCATCCAATCATCCATCCACTTAGCTTTATTTAGCCAGAAAGAACTCCAGACTAAGAATTTTAAATCTTAAAATGCTATAAAATGCCTCTCTCAACCCTTCCCCAAATCCTCACTCTTTTCTCTAATCACGCCAGTACATAAACTTTCATCTCAGGCAAAATAAGAATGTAAATTTATTTTAAATTATGTATACAGATGCTGGTAATCACTATTTTAAAACAGAACCGCACAGGTGGCATCCCACACATGAAGCATCAGGCAACTTCTAAGTAGCTGAGAAGCTCACCTGCTCCCAACACTCCAGGCTCAGCCAGAAAGACGTAGTAATTAAGCAACCCACGTACTCTTCTTCCGTTTCCCTGGGATCCAGGGACACTTGCTGGTGGCATAGATCACTGACACCCCTCAATAGACCAAGTCTTCTTGGTCTATTCTTTATTTTAAGTTCCAAAACCTGTCTCAGTGACTCGAGTCTGTAAATGCAGAATCAAAGGGGTTGCTTGCTGCTGTTATGCAAGAGTGCTCTCTCATCCCATTTTATGACTATAAATTAGCCAAGTGTGACTCAGATGTGATACCGCCT